CATTCCGCTCGTGTACATACTCCCAACGCTTGCTCACTATTTCTTCTGTAATTCCAAAATAATTTAAATTTGTTTTTGAAATTTTAGGGATATATTTTTGGCTAGTTTTGGAAGACATATTTGCAAAAAATCTTTCATTTTTTTTGTGAGTCACTAAAGCAGCTCCTCCCTATAAGTACTTACTCAACACTCCCAGCCCTTCTACTCTTCGTATTGCTTGGTAATGCACTTAAGTATGTATGTATGTATGTAATGTATGTATATATATATATATATATATATATATATATATATCTAATATATATACACGAAGGTACAAGTATTATAATAGTATGAGTGTTGGTTTGAGAATTAGGTCATCGAGATGAAAAGACTTTCAAAATTTGTAGGACACGTTCCGGATCTGCACGACGATCCAAGGGGGGGCCCTTTAATTCTGCTGAGTCAGCCGAAAATAATTAGACGATGGAAACTTATTTGTGCTTAATTGGGAATAGTGATTTTTGATATTTCTATTGGAAGATTAAATTTCTATATATGTATATATCGAATCAATTGCTCTTATTGTGATTCAGTATATATGTATTTTGCAGACAAATTTTAATTTAACTCTTTCAAACATAACATCTTATAATTTGGTTTATCAAATGAATTGTTCAAATTGCAACTCAATGTAATAGTGAAACTACCGAAAATTTAATTAAACCATTTCCCCAAACATAAAACAATAAAAATAATACAAAAAAATTCAAAATTATCATACAGAAACGTTGAAAAATAATATAGACTTTTTTTAACACAAATATCCTTCATTTATTAAAATTTATTTAAAGGACGATTTGCTGAAGGTTGTTTCATTCAGCTATAAAAGCAATACATGAATGCAACCTAACAAGATTCCTGAATTGAAAAATAGAACTCTTCCGACAAACAACCTCAGTTTTAGAAGACCTTGGCTTTGTTTTTATTTTTTTTAGGTATTCCTAAAACTGTTTGTTCCAAAATTATAATTTTTGTAAAATATTTAATAACATTATTTATTTAGCACCTTGTCAATGGACTAAACAACAAAGTTTTATATAAGTTGGTGAAATGTTTTGCATACTTTTCGAATCACCATTGATTCATCTCAGAACACACAAAAATAAAATAATAAAGCTTAAAATGACAAAGTCACTTATGTAATATAAAAATTAATCTCGAATTAAAAACAATTTTACGGTATGAATTTTCTCTATGTATCATTTTTGTATGGAGATTATTAGCACTGAAGATAAAAAAAATATAAGTCGAAACGTATGCAAGTAATTTTATTATTAACTTCTCGTGAAATGAAAATTTTATATATTTTATGTTTCAGAGGCTTCTGAACATTTTAGCATACCTCGGAAAAATGGATGTGTATATATATATATATATATATATATATATATATATATATATAAATTGGTACTTACTTTGACATGTTTCCTGGACGGATTCTTCTAATACTTTTGTATGAACAAATTGTTTCTTGTATCACATTTTTTGCACAAAATCACACTTGCACTTCCTATTGTTTGTAACAATCACATTCTGTAAATTAAAATGTCAAATAAACATTAATAATAATATAAACATCACTTTAATTTAATAAATTATATATATATATATATATATATATTCTATATATATATATACATTTAATAATTATTTCTGATTTCTATAAAATTATTTAAATTTATATTTACGTAAACAACTTGATTGCATATATTATTTATAAATATAGAAATGTATATATATTTATAAGTATAGAAATATATATATATATATATATATATATAAATTAGTGTTTTTAAGTATTTTATTTATTTATTTTAGATAGTTTCCCTTTTAATATTTTTACACTACATACATTCAGTCCGAACGTAAACTTTAGATAAATATTATTTCTTGAAACCATTAACCAAAATTTTTTTATATTAAACTTTAATTGCATATAAACAAATTAAATATTTAATAAGTTCAGTTCATTAGATAAAATTTTGATCACAAATAATATTTATAAGAATAGTAATATTTATATTATTCATTTTTTATCCTATAAATTTATGTTTAAAATTAAAATTAGTTATTTATGTTTATTATTAATTATTTTATGTTTGAAATTCAAATTACGTAATAATTTTTGCAAAGCCAGAGGTCCAATAATTCAAAAAATAAGTTTTAGAAAAATGCCATTTAGAAGTCGCAAAATCAAATATTTTTGTGACATATGGTTATCAAAAACTTTCAAGAAATTTCAAAATTTAAAGAAATTAAAAAGTTAAGTTTTCAAATTTTTTTTAAAAAATGCATTTTTTTCAATTTTGTTCAATATTTAAATTCTTTAAATGTTTTCATAAATGTTCAAAATTAAATAAAATTAAAAAAATTAAATTAAATTTGAACTTTTCACAATTATCAGCGTTTTCAAAAAAGGCAATTTTTTCAATTTTGTGGAATATTTAAATTTTTCAAAAAAAAAGCGATTGTTCTTCCAATTTTGTTCGACATTCAAATTCTTTAAATGTTTTCAAAATTTTCAAGCATGTTTAAAATTTAAATAAAATAAAAAAAATAAGTTTTCAAAAATGTCAAAGTTTACACAAAATATCAGTATTTTCAAAAAAAAAAAAGCATTTTTTTTAATTTTGTTAATATTTAAATTCTTTAATTGTTTTCAAAATTTTCAAAAATGTTAAAGATAAATAAAAAATTTAAATTTAAAAAAAAATCGAAGTTTTCACATAATATTAGTATTTTCAAAAAAAGCGACATTTTTCAATTTTGTACAAATTCTACTATATTCAAATTCTTTAAATGTTTTCAAAATTTTCAAAAATGTTCAAAATTAAAAAAAAACAAATATTTAAGTTTTCAAAAATTTCACAAGATATCAGTATTTTCAAAAAAAAAATATTTAAATTTTTTTTTAATTTAAAAAAAAAAAAAATTAAAGTTTTCAAAATATCGTAAGTTTTCACAAAATATCATCGTTTTAAAAAAAAAAAACATTTTTTCAAATTTTTGATTACTTTTTACAGAAAAAAAGCTATTTTTTTCAAATCTGTAAATGTTTTCGAAATTTTCAAAAATTAAAATACTAAAGATTTTAAAAATTTTCAGAGTTTTCACAAATATCAGTATTTTTTTCAAGAAAAAATGCTATTTTTCCGATTTGTTCAATATTCAAATTCTTTAAATGTTTTCAAAAACGTCCAAAACTATTCAAAATCTATTTTGCTTTTCGAGCCTTTAAAAAGATAAAAAAAGCGAGAAATTCCAGCAATTTGTCTTAAGGCACGTTTATAATTATTTAAAAATACTTTTTAAGACTTTAATATAAAATTTTGAGTAAAAATAATAAATGTTTCAATATTTTGCGCTCAAGATTAATTTTAAGAATTAATTAAATAATAAACCAAAAGTGTAGAAAAGAAACTCTACTGACGAGCAAAATAGAAAAAATGAGACTAATTTTAAGATACTAATAATTACACCGTATTTTTTACAATAACAAACTTTTATTAATTGTTTATAAATATTTTATCACGATATAATATTTATTAATAACATAACAACGAATAAAACAAATTATTTCAGATCTTCAGAACTTAATTAATTGTATATAAATAATTCAAGTACTTGAAAATCGTCATATGTAATTTATAAAAAAATAAAATTAATACAAAAGTAGGAACATAACAAAATAAAAAATTTATATTTTTTTTAAACACACTATTTATGATTCTAATTATTCAAAATTGCATTTATTATTAATGTTAATTATTTATAAATAATTTAAGAATTAAAATCCGAAAATATTTAATTTAACACACAAAATGTAATTCAGAATTAAAATTTATAATAGATCACCACACTTTTTGTTTAATATATCATTTATTATTTCTAATATTGTTATTTTGTTATATTTATTATTATCTATCACTTAATGTTTTAATTCCACTTTTATTTATTTTATTTATTAATTTTATTTTTATTATTATTTGCTTTTATTTATTTTAAATTATCATACTACGGATATCATTTTAATGTGAATTCTATCGTTTGTACTCTTATTTATTTAATTGATTGATGTTAATTATTTAACAGTAGTAATAAATATTGTAATTAAAAAAAAATTATTCCCGAAGCCCAAAATTATTTTTAGAACAACTTTAATTGTTTTTAATCAATTTAACCGCTTAAAACCGACAATATTTAATTTAAAAATAAACAAAATTAATATAAATCGCAGAGTAAAACATTTTCAATTTACACATCACACTTTTGGCTAAAACTGTAATTTTTATTAATAATTTATTATCCATAACGCACAAAATTATTTTTATCGCAATTGTTAATTGTTATCGATATTTTAGCGTTAATTTTCATTAATTTATCAAGTTAGATAATATTGTAATTTAATATAATAATCTACCTGTTGTCGGCGGTTTGGAATAAAACTGAGTCCACCATTATAAGACACGCTCAGTGGAGTTGCGGGTTTTGTAATCCGACATGAAGATCTATCTGAAAGGAGAAAAAAAATATAAATATGTGTATATATAATATATAATATATTATATATATATATATATATATAAAGGATCGTGTTAGTTAGAACACCTATAACTCACGAACGGCTGAACCGATTTAGCTGAAAATTGCTAGAGAAGTAGTTAGAGCCAGGAGAAGGACATAGGATCCTTCGTTTTTCGTTCAAATGAAAATTAATTAATTATAAACTCTTCATTGAGTTTATTCAATCCATGATTCATATTTTATTATTTTCAGAAATAAATATGAATAATCAAGAACGGTATTTTATTTTTATTTTTCCCAATTAAAAAAAACTTCTTATTTAATGTCATTATGACGGAACAAAGTTCGCCGGGTCAGCTAGTATATATATATGTATGTAAGAACTAAAATTGAGCAAAAATTATAAAGAGAGAAGAACAATAGGTTTCTACTAATTAGGAAGAAACTACTTAAATGAGACTACGCCCAGAATCCTAAATTGCATATAAAGTATCATTAAGTTCGTTGGTCTTCTCTTATTAACTTTCCGTAGGGTAAGTTATTGCAGTAGTCCACAAATCGAAATTGAATTTTTTTTTCAATTCTACACGTTTTGAAGGTTTCTGAACGCTTTGGCTTACCTCAGAAAAAACTGATGTGTGTGTATGGACACAACTTTTCGTCCACGTTTTCAGCGCACGGATCAACAACATTCGATTCCTATTGATAGAGAGATATGCTGACTATTTTTTGCAAAGGCAGGTCCAGCCGTTTCGGAGATACGAGGCAAAGAGTGCAGAAAATATAAATCGAGTTTTTGAGAGATCGGAGCATCCGATTTGAATTATCCAAAAACTTTGAATTAGTAATGCCGGGAGAAGTGGTGATCAGATTTTGGTAAAGGCAGGTCTAGCCGTTTTGGAGATACGGAGATAAATATGCAAAAATGACAGTCATGAGAGAACTAAGTATCCGCTTTGAATGATTCAAACAACTTTCTGTTGTGTTCACAAAACGATTGTTCTTGTGAAATTTTTATTTTGTTTGAAATTTCTGTTTAATTTGCAAAATTAAAGGTTAAACTTAATTTTATTCTTCGAATATTTCTCTATAGTACGGAAATTCCAGAAATTTGCCTTAAGCACAATGCAACACCACTAGTCTTACTAATATTTTTACCCAAACTGAAAAAAACCAGAAATACCGAAAAATAAGTTCTAATGTTGAAAATATCCGAAAAATCAATTTTTTGAATCGAAATTTTCCGAAAAATAAGTTCTAAATATATGAAATTTTAAGTGCTTTAAAATTTAATTACATGTACCTAATAATACAACTACCTAAAAATCCAAATACATAAAAAACCAAATCTGAAAAGTTCCTAAAATCTATATATGTGAACATCGATTAATGCATTAAAAATCCAAATATTCCAATATTAACAGTTCTAGGTGAGCTAAAGTAAATTTAGTCACTTATATAAATCTAAGTCACTTTATATAATTTATATTTAAAAAATCTAAGTTCCTAAACGTCTAATATGGAAAAATCCAAAAACTTTAAGCATTTAACATTTCAACATTTTAGTGCATATATAAGCCAATGTATCAAAATCTACCAGCTTGATAAACAATTTTGAAATCTAAACATATCAAAAATAGAAGACACATATATATAAAAAAATAGAAGTTCCTGAAATCCAGATAAATGCTTAAAAAAGCTAAAAAATGAAAATCCAAGTCGTCTCACCTACCTAAACCGAATTATGTCAAAATCCAAAACTAAATATTTAAAATATTTTTAGAAAGCAAATTTCGCCTAATAATTCAACCTAGATAGTTAATTATAAACACAAATTTATACAAATCTAAAAATATCGAAATCAAAGTTCCTAAAATCTAGCTATGTTGAAATCAAAAGTAGTTCAAAATTATTTAAAAAAATAATTGCTTATAGAAAGTAAAATATTAAAATCTAATTATTTAATAATCCAACTACCACAAATCCAAATACCAAAACCAACTAATTATATCAAAATCCAAGTATGAAATAAAAGCTAAGCAATAAAATCCAACATCCAAGACTAATCCAATTATATCAAAATCCAAGACAAATGCAAATTTTCCAATCTATTAATTTTATAAATTAATAGAGTAAAATGAAACCTGTACTTACTGGCAAACTAAAAAAGAAGATTTAACTATTTTTTTCAATTTTTATATCAATGTTTTAAATTTGTTAGAATTACCCTTTTTTCATAAAAAATAATACTGTATGATAGATATAGATATATTATCACATGAGCTTGCTCTTTTATTTTTAACTTTCATTTGATATTTTTATTATTATATTTTATTATTTTTAACTTTTAGTTGATTCATTTATTTATAAAAACCTTTATATATCATTCATATTAAATTCTTATTAAATCTTTTATCTCACCTGTAATCCCTTCTCTCACACTCCATGCCTCCCACAACCTGTTTGAATGTTTCGTATTCACCGGACAGGTATCGGCGTCATTCATCACGGCATCTCTTTCCCACTTGAACAAAATGTATGAAAATCCACATGCGGCATCTCTCTCCCACATCGCTTTATAAGTCGAATGAAATTGTTTGATTTTGAAATTCCTGACACACGTTTGTACGTATGTTAAGGCAGAAAAATGGATTTATGTAATAAAAAACATGGTTAAAAATTAAGAAAAATATTTATACATGTATTAGATTAGTATGTTGTTTATATAATAGTTTAATATAATTATTATATATAATAAGTTTAATTAAATTGTCTTATTTTGTTTATACTTGCGTGCAAAGTTGTGATGGATTCTTTAGATGATGTCATTTGTAACAAAAAAAGGATTAAAACAGAATTTTGGAATGAATTATTTAAGTATAAAAATAATTTATATTAAATATGTGTATAAAATATTAAGTAATTCCGGCAAATTTCAAAATCTCGGATAATCTTGATGTGCTGATCGTACACAGCCTAAAATTGAGAAAAAAATACATAAATTAATTTATTTTGTTTTAAATGATAATTTAATAGACATGTTTTCTAATAATTTAAATTATTTTTTTCTAGGGATATATTTGGAAAATCATTGCTTTAGTCATAAAAATTATTTATTTAAAAATCCACAAGTATGATGAAAAATATTGTATAATAATTAGCATTAAAAAAATTGAGCTATTGAAAATAAATTCAAATAATTAAAAACACTAATTATTATTTTTAATTAAAAGCAAAGGTTATTATTATAGTACAAGATAATAATTCAATATATTTATTATTAATAATCTAATAATTTAAATAAATTTATCCCAATGTATTAAAATCCAACTAAATTGAATTAGCTTCAAGAATTAGTCCTTTATGTATTGAGCAATATAAGGGGATTGCAGTCAATTTTTTACATTTGTTTAAATTACATTAAAATTTTGTCCGGGGCACTCTTTTTTATTTAGCTTATCAGAAACTAGATAAAATTTATTAATTTTCTGTATACATTGCTTTTTGTAGTGTGATACAAAAATTTCAAACAAAACTAGTTTGAATCGCCGTTATGATTTTTGAATATATACGATATATGGATTGGTGTCAATTTTTTACGTTTGTTTAAATTACATTAAAATTTTGTTCCGTGTACTCTTTTTTATTGAGCTTATCACAAACTAGATAATATTTACTAAATTCTGTATAAACTGTTTTATATGCCGTGATGCAAACTTTCTTGTAAAAAAATAAAATTAGTGTGAATTCGACCTTAAATGTATCGAGCAATATATGGGAATTTCGGATTTTAGATATTTTAAATAACATTGCAATTTTATTCCGAGCACTCTTTATATTTAGCTTAGCAAAAACTAGATAAAATTTATTAAATACTGTATAAACTGTTTATATACCCCGATACAATTTTATTTAGGCAAAAATAAAATTAGGTAAACTAGTCTTTAATGCATTAAACAATATATGGGGATTCGGAAGACTTTCTCAGAGTTTTTCAAACAACATTAAAATTTGTTCGGGGCACTATGTTTTATTTATCCCAGCAGAAACTAAATAAAATTTACTAAAATTCTGTACAAATTGCTTCACATACCCCTATACAAATTTTTGTGAAGAAATGAAACTATTGTAAATTACTCTAGAACGTTTGTAGATATTTTTAAAAAAACATTAAAATTTTTGTTCGTGTACTATTTTTCATTTACCTCAGCAGATAAAATTTACTAAAATTCTGCATATACCATTTTGTAAACCCCGATACAAACTTTTTGTAAAAAAAATACTTGAAACACAAACTTATTGGTTCAAACACTCAGCTCTTTTAAGCCAATTCTTTACATATAAAACCTAAAAACCCAAAACTCTAACCTCTAAATGACTTCCTAAAAGACTCAAATATAATATATTAAACTTACAGTAACAGCAATATTCGTATCAACCGTCAAATGGAAAGTTTCTGGTGCATCCTGAGCAAAATCTTCACCAGGAATTTGTACTGGTCTCGATTCCATCAAACAGTCGATTTGCTTCTGTTTTTCCTTCAGCAGCGAAAGACGATTTGCAGTCCTAAAAAAAAAATTGATACATATGTTGAATATATTTTTATTTTTTTTTAAATTTCAATAATTATTACAACTGTTAAATAATTAACATCTAGCAATATTGAGAAATAATAACATAAATTTTAAATAAATGAGAGTGCAAAGGATAGAATTTGATAATATGAAACTATAAATGAAATATACATAAAACAATGATATATACGTAAGACTAGACTTTAAGAGATAGTGTAGATATTATGTAATTTAGTATATGGCTAATGTACTAGTTTATAAAGCCAATAAATCATAAATAAAAAAAGGGATAGAATTACATTAAAATGATATCCGTATTGTGATGATTTAATATGAAATAAAAGCAAATAATAATAAAAATAAAATAATAAATAATATAAATAAAATTGTCACTAAAATGTATTATATCGAAAATAAAAATTAAAAGTACTTTGTAGAAAAGTATAGGAAAAAAACGATCTTAATCCATAATATTACCCCAATTACCAAAATACTGTATATACTGTATATCTAAGTATAGTATAAATTTTATCTAGTTTTCACTAATATCAACACTTCATGATGTCCGAGAACAAAATCAAAGTTATTTGTAGAAAAGTAAAAAATTACCCAAATCCATATATATATATATACTAATACCAAAATACTATAGTCCGCATTTCAATATAAAATTAAGCACAATTTTGATATCTAAGTATATACACAAGTTTTACTATATTTTAGTAAATTTATCTAGTTGTCACTAATATCAACACTTATGATGTCCGAGAAAAAAATCAAAAGTTATTGTAGAAAAGTAAAAAATTACCCAATCCATATATATATATATTACTAATTACCAAATACTATAGTCCGCATTTCAATATAAAATTAAGCAAAATTTGATATCTAAGTATATACACAAGTTTTTGCTAAATGTTAGTAAATTTTATCTAGTTTTCACTAATATCAACACCTTAAATGTCCAAGAGAAAACAAAAAAATCAAAGTTATTTGCAGAAAGTAAAAAAAGACCCAAATCCATATATATATATATATTACTAATTACCAAAATACTATAGTCCGCATTTCAATATAAAATTAAGCAAAATTTAGATATCTAAGTATATACACAAGTTCTTACTATATTTTAGTAAATTTTAATCTAGTTTTCACTAATATCACACATTATGATGTCCGAAACAAATCAAAAGTTATTTGTAGAAAGTAAAAAAAATGACCCAAATCCATATATATATATATATTACTAATTACAAAATACTTAGTCCGCATTTCAAATATAATGCAAAATTTAATATCAATAATTATATATAATTCTTACTATATTGTAATTTTTATCTAGTTTTCACTAGTCAACAATTAAATGTCCTGACAAATTAAAAGTCAACAATTAAACAAATGTTTTAAATTTTTATAATGCAAGTGACCAAAACACTAAAGGCGCATTTCATAAATTACGCAAATTTCTATATCTAAGTATATATAAAGCTCCAAATTAAATAACAATAATAGAAATAATAAGATAATAATAATAATAATAATATTATTATTAGTAAATTGTGTAGATATACCTGTCGGCATGTTTTAGGGTTGCAAAATGCTTCGAGGGCTTTTGGTAACTTGGAAAGTCGTACATTTCTATGATGTCCCTGAACATTTTTCCTCCTAAAAAAAAGGAACTGGGTGTAAGTTGCATTTTGGCTTAATGGTGGTTTAGTATATTTTTTATCTGGTTTTGCTGAGATAAATATAAGAAGGTGCCCTGAACAAAATTTTAATGACATATTAAAACATATAAAGAAGTGTCCCGAAACCCCATATATATTGTTTAATACGCTCCAGAATAATTTACAATAGTTACATTTTTTCACAAAAAAATGTTTGTATCGGGGCATATAAAACTGTTAATACACATTTTTAGAAAATTTTATCTAGTTTCTGCTAAGCAAGTAAAAAAGATTGTCGGGAACAAAAATTTAAAGGTATTTCAAAATGTAAAAAAGTGTCCAAATCCTTATATATACATTAAGGACAAGTTCATTCTGGTTTTATTTTTTACCAAAAAAATTGTATGGGAGAATATAAAACAGTTTATAACAAACTTTAGTGAATTTTATCTAGTTTTTGCTAAGCTAAATAAAAAAGAGTGCCCCGAACAAAATTTTCAAGTTATTTAATAAAATGTAAAAAAAAGTCTTAAGGTCCATATTTGGCTACTCGCTTATATGCTTATAACATCATTATGATCATTTTTTTTAACCAATTGACTGAATATATTCGTCACGAAAATGTATCAAAACGAATATAAATATAAGACTATTTATAAATCAAAATTTTTAATAACAAAAAAATGCCTAATAAGATAACTTAAGACCAAATATATACCAAAAAAAAATCCTGTGACAAGAAAAATACACTCACTATCATTTTATAGTCAATTTATATAAAAAAAGAGTGCGCGTAAGGTCTCACGCGATTGAAGTAAAACTTATTTGCTACTGTACAAGATGGCATTTAAATAAAAATAAATGCATCATATAACAATTTAGAATAATTTCATTAGCAATATGGTAACACTCGTGATTCACACATTATTAGTGTCGTCAATCATTATACACATTTTTTTTTTTGTTTATATAATGATAAATTATAAATTATATATTTATAAAAGCACTAAAAATTAGTGTAATATTTAAAAATAATTATTTAATTAAGTTCATACTTCAAATATGACATGATCGGTTTGTCATTGTAATAAGGACAATAAAGGACTTGGACCTTTATTAGAGAAATGAAGTAATTGCTGATAATAAATTCTATAATATTAGTTCACATAGTTGATTATGTTAAACAAAACTTAACAAATATTGTTTTTGCAAATTCACTCATCATGTAACAATTGTGTTTGAAGAACTGCCTAAAAAATATTACTTATTTCAAAAAATTGTGAAATAGTCATCAGTTTTACAATTTGTACGCATAGTAGACATATTCAAGAATGTCATGTGCAAATTTCATTGGTTTTGCACAAACGGTGTATTTAATAAAATAAAAGAACTCTACTTTTACACAAATAAAGTATACTATGTAAATTAATATATGAGGCGAGTGCAGGTTTTGGGAAAAACATTATTTAACTCAAAAAATTGTAAAATAGTCATCAGTTTTTACAATTTGTACGCGTAGTAGACCTATTCAAGAGTGTCATGTGCAAATTTCATAAGTTTTGCAAAAAAACGGTGTATTAATAAAAAATAAAACAACTCTACTTGTACAACAAATACAGTGCACTATGTAATTAGTCGAGGCGAGTGCAGGTTTTGAAAAAAAAATTTTATCTCTAAAATTGTATAAAGGTCATCAGTTTCAGTATTTGTACTCATAGTAGACATATTCAAGAATGTCATGTGCAAATTTCATAGGTTTTGCACAAACGTTGTATTAATAAAAAATAAAGAATTCTACTTGTACACAAATAAAGTATACTATGTAAATTTGTAATGAGGCGAGTGCAGGTTTTGGAAAACATTATTTAACTCAAAAAATTGTGAAAAGTCATCAGTTTTACAATTTTTACGCATAGTAGACATATTCAAGAATGTCATGTGCAAATTTCATAGGTTTGCACAAACAGTGTATTAATAAAAAATAAAACAACTCTACTTGTACAATAAATACAGTGCACTATGTAAATTAGTCATGAGGCGAGTGCAGGTTTTGGAAAAACATTATTTAACTCAAAAATTGTATAAAGTCATCAGTTTCAGTATTTGTACGCATAGTAGACATATTCAAGAATGTCATGTGCAAATTTCATAGATTTGCACGAACGGTGTATAATAAAAATAAAAGAACTCTACTTGTACAAAATAAAGTATACTAGGTAAATTAGTAATGAGGCGAATGCACATTTTGGAAAAGCATTATTTAACTCAAAAAATTGTAAAATAGTCATCTGTTTTACAATTTGTACGCATAGTAGACATATTAAAGAGTGTCATGTGCAAATTTTACATAGTTAGGACAGTGTATTAATGAAAAATAAAAGAGCTCAAAAGAAAATAAAAGAATTTTAATAACTTCAAAGATTTATAGAACTACGAACAATATAGAAATAATTTCTAATCAATAAAATTACGTTTAGTACACGAAACAAACTTTTAATTTGTTTTATTATTTTCAAGGAACATGGTAAAATATTCTTCTGATTCAGGCATTTTTCATTAAATCAAGATTTGTACTACGATGTAACTTTAAAATGTTTATTTATCTATCTATGTCGATTTCCTTGTTGATATCGGTACGCATACAACGACAGATCTCTATTCACATACACGACGTCTAATCACAATCGACCCGTATAGAAATGATATCATCGAGAGCGAATGACGAATCATTGGCACTCAACTCTTATCTTCCGTTGCATGTGTACGGACTTACGCCCTAGTCGCGCCTAAAAAAGTTTTACTTCAAAAAACTATCCTTTATTAATACCTTTTCTTCGTGTCGTCTCATTTCCAAAGTTTGCATCATATTAAGACCATGTGGAGAAAGTTCTGTACCATCAGGGATGTTCATCAGTTGCTTTTTGAAGGACAATTCGAAATTTTTGGCAGACAACAGGGTGATCTGATAGAAAAAAATTTACCATTACCAATTGAGAAACCATGTGAATTATTAAATATATTATATACTTTATCATGGATGTCCAAACTAGATTTTCCACCATCGACTCCATATCTATTAACAATGTCTTCATGGACTTTATCATCGCAACTGTCTAAGACTCGTAACATGGCATGGACCTAAAAAAAATAGAAATGAATTATTAAAATTTGGTAGATTTGTTATTCTGGTTTGTTGTTTTACCTTTGCTCGTATGCAATTTTTAAAAGGTAAATTAGTAAATGGTAAAACATCTATTTCTCCGCATTCCACAATCTGTGTGATATCACCTGGCGACATCTTGCAGCGTTCGATCAAAGGTTCCACGTAGGAGGTGACAGTTTTCATTTCTTTGAAATAAAAAAAAAACTGATAATATATTTATATATAGGGTCCGTCAGATAACATTTTTTTTTGAAAATGCTATATATAAACTACTGAATATTTTCTCAATTTAAATCTTTTCTATTTGAAAGTGCAATCCTTCTGGTTAATAATCAAAAATAATTTTATTGAAATGACTGTCTAGTTTTTTAATGGCTATCAAAAATTCTAAATTGCTACCAATGAAAAAAATTATATGGCGGACCCTTTATATATATATATATATATATATATATATATATATATACCTCTAATAAAATATAGCTGAATGTACTTTGTATAGTTTGCTATGATAAATAATAAATAAAAAAAAATATTTAGGGGGTGTCTATTAATCACGTGAGGTTTTTAGGAAAGGGTTGACAAAAAATCGCAAAATATTAAGTGGGGAAGGAAAGGGTGCAGTAAGTATCTAAGGTGTGTTTTTTCCTGAATTTAGTTTTAAAAAAAATCCAAACATTTTTAAGGATGTCTCTTAGCTATACTATTCTTGCTTGTGAGCTTGTAATACAAACCGTGCGTCCTGAGAAGCTCGTCAAAAATCGCTATGCTTAATTAAAAATGCAAAACTTTACCAAACGTGTACTTTGCACATAAAATTATTATTATATCATGTTACATAAAAATATTTGCAAATTTTATATTTTTTATATTTAAACAACTCATGTAAAAATATCATACTAAATTTGTATATTTGTAATACAAACTGTGCGTCCTGAAGAGCTCGTTAAAAATCATCATGCTTGAATATCACGAAGAAGAAGCTTGATAAGACTTAGAAGAACTATCTAACCGTGTACTTTGTTCGTAAAATTAATATCATATCATGTTACATAAAAGTTGTTAGCCATTTTATATTTTTTGCATTTAATAAACTTTTTGAAGAATAATATATTTAACTTACAAGCTTGTAATACAAACGGTGCGTCCTGAGGAGCTCGTTAAAAATCATCATGCTTAAAGAGAACCTACTTATGAGAACTTTACAAAACGTGTACTTTGTTGGTAAAATTAATACTAGGTAATAAAAAATGAAAGTATTTTCCAATTTCATATTTTTGCATCAGAAAACATATTGAAAAACAATATTTCATTAAAGATTTTTTGTAAAAAGATTTCAGAAGTGAATATTATTTAAATCAAATCCGAGATATTTACACAATATCTAAACAATGCACCGTTAAAACAATACTATACATACAAAATTAAAACTTCAAGGAGCTCCTCAGGACAAACAGTTTGCACAAAACGCATACAATTTGAACATATTGTACATTAACACACGTACAATGATGTCAAATACTAAAATTGCCATCTTTTCTCACAAAATTCCGAGATATTTACACAATATCTAAACAATGCACCAGGTAGAAACAATGCCTTAGTAATGAAATTAAGATTTTGACGAGCTCCTCAGGACAAACAGTTTACACAAAACACATACAATTTGAACATATTGTACATTGACACATGTACAATGATGTCAAATACTAAAATTACAAACTTTTCTTACAAAACTTCAAGATATATAGATAATATCCAAAGAACGCACCAGGTTAAAACAATACTATACATACAAAATTGAAATTTTAAGAAGCTCCTCAGGACAAACAGTTTGCACAAAACGTGTACAATTTGAGTATGTTATACACTAACACGTTTACTATGATGCCAAATACTAAAATTACAAACTTTTCTCACAAAATTTTAAGATTTAAGACTAACTAACCTTTGTCCTTGATGTCGCACCTTTTCAAATTGAGATGATCAGCAGACAGTTTTCCTTCTGAATTTTCTTCATCCCTTAAGGAATATATATATATGTAAGATTCAGGGTTTCCAAATTCATGTAATTATTTGTCACCTGTATAATTTGGCCAACAGTTCAAAAATCCCCTTTCTGGCATTTTTGCCCCTCCAAGCCAAAACCTGAACATGAGCAGAAATTGCAAAATCGCTTCTTCCAGCATTGTCGTAACAAAAATCCACAAGCATTCCTAGCCAAGGTTTGCGATAAGGATTTGGAATTTTCTGGGGAAAAAAATTATGTCAAAATTTGTTTAGTTTTCTTTAAAAATCGTCTCTTACCTCGATGACGTCCAGAATTGTAAAGACGCCTCCGATTCGCAAAAAGTTCTCCAAAGCCTTTGGACAAGGCAAGATCGCCTTCCAGATGAGGTTGCATAAACAAATCATAAACCTAAAAAAAATACTAATAAAACACTAACTAGTGGTGTATGGCATCGTGCCTTAAGGCAAATTACTGGAGCTTCCCGTACCGTAATGAAATATTCAAGAAATTTCAAACGTTTTCAAATATATTATTACAAATACGAGTGTAACTTTCATTATTTTTGCTATCTTGTTTGTTATATCTGAGCAAATCAAATGTAAATCATAAATAAATCAATTTATCTCCAGAACATTAACAATCGTCATTTCATTTCGAATTCAATTTCAAAAAAAAAAAGTTCCCTAATTTACACAAAATTGAAAAAGTGCTCCCGTATAGTTACAGTCTAAACGCATTTGCAAATAATTCTGTGCGACATTTTCACTTATGCTGTGCTTAGCTTGTCGGCATTTTCATATTTTTCAATAGTTTTCAAAAAATTGTAAAAGTGTAAAAATTGTAAACAGTCTAAATGCACTTGGGTAAACATTTGTACCAGAGTGGCGCTTAGACTGTGCTTAGCCTGGGCAATTTTTTGAATTTTTAATCCAAAACTACAAAAATATTTTTTGAAAAAAAAAATTAGAAACAAAAATTTCTTTTTCCAAAAGCAATTATTTTGTTGAAACAAGCAGAAAGTTTCTTGAATCATTTAAATCAATTATTATTATTATTATTATTATTATTACTTACGGTTTATACAAAAACCAACATTCCAGAAAACCGGTTTTCGAATTTTAATTTTACTAAAAAACCGGTTTTAACCAGTTTCCAAATTTTATATAGAAAATACATTTTTGCTCGAACATTCTGTAATTTATCCGCAAATTTAGTGTAATTTAGAGCAGTATTCGACTGAATTTATTTATTGTTCGTTTTTATATATAGTAAACAAAATTATTTTAATTTTAATTAATAGAACTAAAAAATAATAGTTTATCTTGATTAAATAACTTTGAAAATAATTATTCGTTATTCATGCATTATTTTCATATATAATAATAAAAATATTTTTATGATAGTGAAAGGAAAGTTTTCGAATAAATAAAAATAATGCATTTTTAAATAAAAAATCATTAAATTAAAAAAAAATTAAAAAATTGTGCCCATAATTATGAAAGTGGTCTAAGTCAAAATTTAAAAAAAATGAGTTTATCAGTTATTTCATACTAAATGTATTCAATGTAATTTTTACGAAATTCTCAAAAATGAACCATTAGATAGTGGTTGTAATTTCAACATTATATGGAATTCATTTAGTGTTAATTATGAAGGTGGTCTAAGTCAAAAATTTAAAGAAATTATATAAACATCTTGAAAATGGCACGTGGCCTTCTTTGACGCGTTTCTGAACTACATAATAAAATAAATGATAATCAAATTTTAATAATAACGACAATTTCATTCAGGTTTATCTAACCATATAATTCAGTTTGGATAAAAATGGATTACCGTTTAAAAATAATTAATAAATGCTCACGAATTATTTCAATAAAATTATTGTTTCAAATAAAACTCAAAGTTCTTTATTGCTTTAAGTCATTTATAGGACATTCAGTTAATTTTGAAAATGGTCTAAGTAAATTCAAACTTCAAAAACAATATTATCGTATGAAATTCACACAAAATTCCATATTCATAATACATTTCCATTAATTAAGACTAATAAAATTAAAAATTAAAATGTCGCATAATGTAAAAATATTTTTTAATTTATTCAAATGCAATTCGAAAAATATCTTGAAACAATAAATATATGACTTAGACCACTTTCATAATTATGGGCACATATGTTGATACCCACTTGTTAATATCAATATTAGTTTTAAAAACAATTAAGCTAAACTCGGGTATTGTCTGTTCCGTGCAACTTTAATTAATTTTAAACATTCTAATTGTTTTTTGTTTAATAAAATATGATTTTAAAAAACTGAGAACGTCTATCGAATTGCTACTTAGACGTGTCCTTTGTTTACTCACAAAATTTCCTGAAATAGAAATTACTCTCATACTTGTGACCAAATTATGCTTAATTGTTTTTAATGTCAGATATTATAATTTTAGGTATTTTGTTCTTTAATTTGTGGCTTCTAGGGTTTAAAACTCTTTTTTTAAGTTTGAGTAGAGAAGGTTACTTCTTCAAGAAGTCACACTGATTTAAATTAATATAAACACTGGTATAAAAATCGTAATTAATATATACAAAACCTTTGTGGGAACCACTGCAGACTTATAAGATTAAAATGCTTTTGAACCGATATGATTTTAAGAATCAAAAGGCTTTCATCTATCTTTTATATTTGGCTATATTTGTCATTTTCTATGTATACAGTGAAAACCGACTTTTTTCACTAAAAACCGGTTTTCGAATTCCATAATTTTCACCAAAATCGGTTTTTAAATTATTACCGGAATTATTACCTGTCGCTCATCCCCTGGTCTTCCCTCCTGACATTGACAACCCTATCGCAAGCTGTTTTCACTAAATCGATTAATCGAAAATTCTTGGTCGGTCCCAATATGAAATGGTGTTCTTTGTGATCACAATGGTTCACCATTAGGTCGAAACATCGAGAAATTATCCTTTGGGCGCACAAAGTTAAGGGATTTTCCAGGCAGAGGTTGGCCAAATCTGAAATAATAATTTGGTATGATTTAGAATTTTAAGGAGCTCCTCAGGACTAACAGTTTGCACAAAACGTGTGCAATTTGAATATGTTGTACACTAACACTTCACAGTTTTCGATAGCGTTCAGTTTATTTCAAAATCGATTTCAAAGTATACCGAGTTGCTCTACGGTTTTGGGTTGCAAGAAAAAATTGTAGAATATTTAGTTTTGAACAAATTTCCCATATACACCATTCATATTGATCGAATGGTTTGGAAGATATGACTGATTTAGTAACGATATGCACTTTAGAAAAGTTGTCACACTTAATAGCATTAAGTTTATTTCAAAATCGATTTCAGAGTATACCGAGTTGCTCTAGGTTGTTTTGTTGTTAGAAAATTTTGTAGATTATTTAGTTTTGAACAAATTTCCCATATACACCATTCATATTAATCGAATGGTTTGGAATGATATGACTGATTTAGTAACGATATGCAATTTAGAAAAGTTGACACACTTCTGGGTATTTTCAATAGCATTAAGTCTATTTCAAAAGTGATTTCAATGTACACCGAGTTGCTCTATGGTATATTGTTGTTAGAAACATTTGTAGATTATTTATTTTTGAAAAAATTTCCCATATATATCATTCACATTAATCGAATGGTTTAAAAGTTCTGAATGCACATATAATACACTAACACTTCACTATGATATCAAATACTAAAATTACAAACTTTTCTCACAAAATTTCACAATATTTTACAATATTTAGACAATCGTTAAACAACGTACCAGGTTAGAGCAATGTTATAAATAAGAAATTAAAATTCCAAGGAGCTCCTCAGGACTAACAGTTTGCACAAAACGTGTACAATTTGAGTATGTCATACACTAACACTTGTACTATGATGTGAAATACTAAAATTTGAAACTTTCGCCACAAAATTTTAAGATAATTAGATAATATCTAAACAATGCACTAAATTAAAACAATACTGCACGTACAAAATTAAAACATTAAGAAGCTCTTCAGGACTAACAGTTTGCACAAAACGCATACAATTTGAGTATTTTGTACATCGATACACACACTATGATATCCAATACTAAAATAGAAAATTTTCCTTACAAAATTTTAAGATATTTAAATCTTGTAATATCTTAACAATGCGCCAGGTTCAAACAATACTGTACATACAAAATTAAAATTTTAAGAAGCTCCTCAGGACTAACAGTTTGCACAAAACGTGTACAATTTGAGTATTTTGTACACTGAAACACGTACTATGATGTCAAATACTAAAATTGACAACTTTTCTCACAAAATTCCAAGATATTTAGACAATATCTAAATAACGTACCATGTTGAAGCAATGTCTTAGATATGAAATTAAAATTTTGAAGAGCTCCTCCTTTTGAAAACGTGTACAATAGGATTATTTTATACACTAGCACCTTCACTATGATGTCAAAATCTTTTTTCTACTCAAAAAAGATTCTATATTCATAATTTTATATAAATTGTAATTATGCAATTTATTTGTAAATTTTATCAAGATTTATTTGGAAAAAAGAAAGAATATTCTATTTTAACCAGATAAAAAGTTAAAAGAATAGAACTGAGAGAATGTTTCACACTTTTCTGCAAAAATGTTCAAACAAAAAACTGACTAATAATCGTTTATTCGGTTAAATTAATTATTGGATTTCAAATTACAAAATGTAAAGTAAAATTAATAATTTACTTGGTTTTGAAAAAAATCCTTGTTACGATTTATTCAGATTTATTCAGTTGAGAAAAGAATATTCTATTTTAACCAGACAAAAAGTTATTAAAATAAAACTGCAAGAATGTTTAAACAAAAAACTAAGTAAAAATCGTTTGGTTTAAATTAGAAATTAGTATTGATTACAAATAAGATACAAAACACAAAGTAAAACTATTACTTTATACAATCCTGAGACTTAGTAAGTATTTTAACAATTTCCAAGACGAATACAAGTTGGATTTAACAAATTTTAGTAATATTTACTATTATGGACATTAAAAACATTAACAAATGTTAATACACAACCATTTCGCATCATTAAATAGAAATGTAGTTAATTAATTATTGTAAATGGTATATTATGAATTAAAAATGTAATTAATGGATTGCGATAAATTTATTTCAAAGTATCATTTATCCCTCCCCTGCATTTTTTGTATATAGATAGAATTTCATTGTTATTACATAGTTTATGTATTTATTTTGATTTAATATGAATTTTTTGTTATTATATTTTTTTCTAGTAAAGCTTCGTGCTTTATTTAGTTAGCATGAGTAAGTCTATATGACTATGTCACAAGGGACTATATATATAAATTTATGTTTAAAAAAAAAAATTACTAATAAAACTAAAATTACAAATCTCTAAACAATGTACCGGGATAAAACAATATCATTGATATAAAATTAAAATCTTAAAGAGCTCCTCAGGACTAACAGTTTGCACAAAACGTGTACAATTTGAGTATATTGTACACTAACACACGTACTATGATGACAAATGTTTAAATTACAAACTTTTCACACAAAATTCCGAAATATTTAAATAATATCTAAACAATGCACCAGGTTAAAACAATACTATACATACAAAATTAAAATTCCAAGGAGCTCCTCAGGACAAACAGTTTGCACAAAACGCATACAATTTGAACATATTGTACATTGACACACGTACAATGATGTCAAATACTAAAATTACAAACTTTTCTAACAAAATTTCAAGATATTTAGATAATATCTAAACAATGCACTAGGTTAAAATAATACTGTACATACAAAATCAAAACTTCAAGGAGCTCCTCAGGACTAACAGTTTGCACAAAACGTGTACAATTTGAGTATGTTATACACTAACATCTTTACTATTATGTCGAATACTAATATCACAAACTTTTCTGACAAAATCCCGAAATATTTCGACAATATCTAAACAATGCACCAGGTTAAAACAATACTGTACATGCAAAAGTAAAAGTTTAAAGAGCTCCTCAGGATGAACAGTTTGCACAAAACGTGTACAATTTGCGTATGTTATACCCTAATACCTCTACAATGATGTCAAATCCAAAAATCACAAACTTTTCTCACAAAATTTCAAGATATTTAGATAATATCTAAACAATGCACTAGGTTAAAATAATACTGTACATACAAAATTTTAATTTTAAGGAGCTCCTCAGGACTAACAGTTTGCACAAAACGTGTACAATTTGAGCATGTTATACACTAACACCTTTACTATGATGTCAGATACTAAAATCACAAACTTTTCTCACAAAATTCCGAGATATTTAAATAATTTCTAAACGAAATATCAAGTTGAAAGAATACTTCCAAGAACAAAAATTCAAAGAGCTCTTCAGGACGTTCAATTACATAACTTATTATTACTTACTGTAAACATCTCTCATCTTTAGATCATCTCCCAGATCTTTAGAGCTTGTCAGAATTAAATCAGCATTTCTGCATTTGTAAAAAAACGGAATGGACTTTTGAGACAAGATGGAAGCGATTGTATCTTCTTTGGCGTCCATCATGCAATCCGATGTTTAACAAAAACCTTAAATAAATTGTAATTAATAATAAAAATAATATAAAGTAATTATAAAATAAATTACTGCTTACCTTCTAAATTCTTTTCTTAAAAAAAACTATTTCAAATTTCACAAGTCCGATTTTGATTTTACGTCAAAATGACATTTGCAATTTTGACATCGGATTAAAACCTTGATAATTAAACGCAAATAACAAACGTATAGAACATAAATAACACTCCATTTGTATTTCCAAAGTTGCATGTATATATATATATATATATATATATATATATATATATATATATATACACCACAATCACTTATCACTCACTTTACAATTACCACAAACTGTAACACTAAAACCGTTCCTCGTTTTCTTCGAGACTCGAACAAGCAGCATGTCGACCCGGTACTTTTGGCGCCGGGTTGACACGTCTTTGTTCTGATCCCTACCGAAAGCAGAGACGAAATGAACGATTTCTTGCGATCGTTGCTTTAAGGTAAACTATGATAGACCATAGACAATTATTTCCTAGAAGATAGGAACCTAGGTGAACGGAGTAAAGTTGTTTTGAACTGTCAACGGAGTAGATGTAAGTGCCCTCTGAGGATTAATTTGAATTTATAACTATAATAATGAGTTCATAGATAAATATTATTTATTATTTTATTTTTATTATTATTTACTTATATTTTATATCAAATCATATTACGGATATTATTTTCATGTAAATTTTATCTTCTGCACTTTTACTTATTTAAATTTATGTTATTATTCATCAATATTACTAGAAGTTAATAATTTAACAGTTGTAATACTTATTGAAATTAAAAAAAAAAAGATAAATAAACAATTGACTTAATGAATGTGAAAATTTAAATGAAAAATATTTTGTAATTATTTTAGTTGAAAATTAATTAAATGGTATAACTCAAAGTCTTTATTTATTTAATTTGTTCTATCTTATTTATTTTTTAATTATGTGTATTTATTACTTTTTTGTGTTCTGTTGAAATTATTATTACAGATATTTTTCTTCATATTCTTTTTATTATTGAATGTGTATATATATATATATATAATATATATATACTAGCTGGCCCGGAAAATGTCATTTTGCCACAAAAATATTTCTATTATAAAATGTTTAGTACAAAAATAATAAACTGATTGCACAAGTAAAAGGAGCAGCTAACCAAAAATATATGAATAGTTTACCCACTGCAAAGCACGTCACATATAAATGTCTCTTAATAGTTTTTGCAAGAGACGATGTGAAACTGATTCTATTTCAATTGAATTTAAAGTTTCAAGATTTTGTTATATTATTACCGCGCTTTTGCATTATTTCGTTAATTTTTGAATTACGTAGCAAAATCCGTTGATTCATTTTTTAATTATATTGTTATGTGGCATGTCCAGTGAATTGACTGAGATTGAAACAAATTGAGATAGTGGAAAATTTTACATTTTTGCTATAAATTTGTATGGCACCTTTCTATAAAACGGTTGTATTTTCAGATTTTAATATTCAATCTCTCTGTTTTTTGCAAAAAATTGCTTTTTATGCAAATCATTTATCAAGTAAGTACTGTTTGTGCGCATCGGAAAATATTTATACAATGGGAAAATGTAAGACGTGGACAACCCTTGATAAAATTAAATTGTTCTTTCTTGATTAAAATTTAACCTGTCATAAAGTCAGAAAAATATCAATTACATATCAGTAAAAAAATCACACACTATTTCACTACACACATAAAATCTTTTCGATGCATCATAATGCTTCATTTTTTAATTATTTTAATACAAAAATTAATGTCCAATATTGATATCACTATGCAATATTTAGTTTGCTGTAAAATAATAAAATCATACGAGAAATAAAACCCAAATTTTAATCTTCTATTGCATGTATTACAAAATGGACTTAAATTGGTTTTTATTTCTACAAACACTAAGTTATATTTTTATTTTATATATATATATATATATATATATATATATATAAATAAATAAATTTAATAATAAATACACACCTGTAACAAGTAGATTAAAGCACCAATTTTTTACTAAATAAGTTTCCTAACTTCTCATTTTTCTTAAAGAAATTTACCTTCAAATTTTTAGCCTGTTTCAAAAAAAGAATATAAAACAAATTAAATTAAAACAAATTTATATTTTTGCAACAATAATTTATACATAATACAAGATGAATGATGAAACTACTAAAAAAAATGTAAACAGTTAAAATAAAATAAAATTAAATTGAATTCGATGAAATTAATGAAACAAAATAATTAGAAGACTCTTATAATTAAAATGTAAATTTTTGCCTATAAATATATATAATAAATATGAACTCGAAGACTTTTTAAACAGTTCCGGACTGATTTATGATAAATTTTAAAATTTAAACATATTTATATACATAGATAATAGGCATATATATTTAAGGGTGGTCCTTAATATGGACATTATGGAATTTGTTTGCTCCTAAGGGTTTAAATGGTTTCAAAGTAATAAAAAAAAATTCTCTGAAAGTTTTAGCTTTAAAAATTAAGATTTACATAGTCCGCAATTCAATTAAAAGTTTAATAAAACTCTTAACCTTTAATTAAATCCATGTGGACTGTTTAACAAAATATTTATTCATCACGGCATCAAAATTAATTATTAAAATATTTATTTATTTAGTGATTTTGACACTCAAATTGTCAGTAATAAATTGCCATCAAAATTACAAGTCTGCTAACACAAATGGCGCAAGAATTTACTTAATAATGAATATACAAAACTTTTATTTGAATTGCGGACTATCTAAATGTTAATACTAAGAGCTAAAACTTTCACAAAATTTTCTTTTATTACTTTGCAAGCATTTGAGACCTTGGGAGCAAAGAAATTCGAATGTGTCCATATTAAAAACCACCCTTAAATATATATTCTCTTTGATGACCTTCGATATTTCGAAAACAATCTTACCTAGTACCTTTGACAATCCTAAATTCAACTCGATTTATCTTCATTTAAATAAAAAAATGCACAATTTTACTAACCAAAAAAAAAATTAGTCAAAAAAAACAAAAACAACTTACCAAACATAACTTCTTCATGGTTAAAAACGTGTATTTAACTTCTAATAATAATTATTATATAAAATGGTTTAATTAAAAATGTGTGTGTGTGACTTGACTGCTTCTGGAACGTCGATTATAATTATAATTATTATTATGTAATAATTGGCCTAATTCAATTAGGTTTTAAGGGGATGATGATTTCTATATGCTAGAGCGATTATTATTATTATTTATTTTATTTAACAATGTAAACTAATTCAGTCCGTAATGGAAATTTGGGCGAAGCCGATTAGTGCCTTGTCGTCTGCCACTTCACCGCTGCTAAGTTCTGAATTCTGAAAAAAAATTGAATTTAAAAAAAAAATCAATATACTAGTTGTAAGTAGCATTTTGCCTTTAGGCAAGTTGCTTGAACTCACCCCTATACGTATACAAAATCAACTTAATAAAATTTGCGATTTATTTGTTTGTATTTTTTCCACTTGACTCTAAAATGTGTGAACTATACTAAATTCCATACAAATACGCAATTTCTTCAGACATTTTACATGGTACGTGTAATGAAATCTCGTTATGGAAATTAGTATACTATACTTGTTTCAATACAAAATTGAAATTTCGACAGACATTCTGCATAGTGTTGGAAATCTTTGTTTGGAAACTAATATAGCATTTTTATTTTTTGCTTAAAAAAATCTACTGACGAGCAAATGTCATTTTGGATTAAAAAAGAACTCTACTGACGAGCAAATATATTTTTAGTTAAAAAAGAGAAAATTCACAAATTATTCACGAAAATGATTTAAAATTAAAAAGAACTCTACTGACGAGCAAATTCTGAAAATATTTGCAAATGTTTTAGATAAAATGAACTCTACTGACAAGCAAATATCATTTTTGATAAAAAAAGAGCAAGTTCACAAATTATTTACAGAAATAATTTAGAATTAAAAAGGACTCTACTGACGAGAAAATTCTGAAAATATTTGCAAATGTCGTTTTAGATAAAAAAAAGGAGCAAATTCATAAATTATTTACAAAAATCATTTAAATATGAAAAAGACTACTGACGAGAGCAAATATCATTTTAGATAAACATGAGAGAAAATTTTCGAATTATTTACAAAATAATCATTTGAAATTAGAACTATACTGACGAGCAAATTCACGAGTTATTTGCAATGTTAAAAAAAGAACTCTGCTGACGAGCAAATATCATTTTAGTTAAAAAAAGAGCAAATTCACGAATTATTTACAAAAAGCATTTAAAATTAAAAAGAACTCTACTGACGAGCAAAAATCATTTTAGGTAAATAAAGTGCAAATTTTCAAATTATTTACAAAATAATCATTTAAAATTAAAAAGGACTCTACTGGCGAGCCAATATATTTTTTGATAAAAAAGAGAAAATTCACAAATTATTTGCAAAAATCATTTAAAATTAAAAAGAACTGTACTGACGGGCAAAGATCATTTCAGATAAAAAGAGCAAATATTCACAAATGAATTACAAAAATCATTTAAAATTAAAAAGAACTCTAATGACTAGATTAGAGAGAAAAAGAACTCTACAAATCGGCAAAATTAAAAAAAAAAGTTAATCCTCATGTTAGAGAAAAGAAACTCTACTGACGAGCAAACGTAGAAAAAAATAAAATTTTATATAAAGAAAAGAGTTAATATAATGTAGTCTAATGTGGGTCCCAAACGATTCAGAATGTCTTGAAATATGAAATTAACAAATCGGGAGTAATAAACAGGGTGTCCCAGAACTCAACGTCGAACCAAAACAGGGCGACAGGTATTCAATGTATTATGGTATTCAATTTTTTTCTTTTCTTCGATTATTTTTTTAATCTAAAATGATATTTGCAAATATTTTGTGTGCTGAATTTTAATTTTGCTCGTCAGTAGAGTTTTTTTTAATTTTAAGTGATTTTTGCAAATAATTTGTGATTTTTCACTTCTTTATCTAAAATGATCTTTGCTCGTCAGTAGAGTTCTTTTTATCTGAGATGGCATTTGCAAATAACGACCAAAGTCAAAAATACCGACAAAATTGCCCCAAGTTTTCAAGACATTTGATTGAACTGTGAATTTTAAATTTTCAAAAACGGTCGACTTCGAGAGGCTCTCATTTAAAAAAAATGCACTAAAGTACCTTTGGCAAATTTCATAAAAATTTAGCAAATTTAATCAGGATTGTAAAATGGTAAAACACTTGATAGTTCGTTAATGAAAAATTTGAATAAAAAAATAAAAACCTAAAAATGACACGATGTTTGGAATAGAAAACAGGTTGCTTTACGCTGTTCTAGTGTATTCCGCACTCAACAGAGGGTCTACTATGCTATGAGGGTCATAGCTTTTTTTTTTTAAAAAAAGTGATTCTTTAACTGTAATACACGTACTTTAATCATTTAATTGATTTTATCATATTTCTTTGACTTGATGGAAAATATATTTTACACGCGCATATTTTGTTTTCATTCGATACAATTTAATCAAGTTTGTCTTTTCTACAATATACATTTAAATACATCTTGTCTAGAATTAAACCTAGGGTAGGCGGCTCTATAGAGTGCGAAAACAATTAAAATGGTTTAAAAAAAATTGAAAAGTAATGACAAAGCGACCGTTTTGCGATCTAATTAGACTTCTATTATCTATTCATTTCACTCGCAATGAGTTTAAATGTTTTTGATTCGAATAAGATCAATGAGCAAGAAGATATTCAGTATATTTCTAATTACCAATTGGAAGGTGACTGTCTTCATTTTATCCCTTTGTTCGATTAATTTCTGCAGATTTGCAGCCATTACTACGATATCTTTGCCATCGACTAAACCTGCACCGACCAGTTCTGCAGCAATTCCTATAAAGCAAAAAATAAATAAAATATATTAATAATAAATATCAATTACCCAAATAAAAATGTTATACGCCAAGAAAAAAATATAAGAATATATATGTATCTCGATTCAATATTTTAACACCTCTATTATATTTAATAAATAATTCTGTAAAATAATTTAGCATGTAAGGTAACTTGTTGTAAACACTAAACTCTAGAATAAAAATAGAAGGAAATATAATTATCAATAAAATACCAGTTATGCAGATAATATTTTTTATTAATTGACCACTTTTTTACTTAAATATAAAAACTTCTTACCATCAGCAGAATCCTTTCCGACCGCATAATCGAATCTTATATCATTTAATTCCCGTTTGGCATTCCTAATACGTAGAACTAAATTTACAGGAGGTGCGTCGTTGTCTGAATCACCTGGGAAAAAGAAAAAAAAAAAAAATAGATAAATATATGATAAATAGATTTATATATATATATATATATATATATATATATAATTATTTACCTTGTGTGTTTACAGATTCAGTATTAATTGTGTCCTCTTCACTAGCCGAAGATTCCGCACTTTCCAACTGATTCATGGGACGAGTGTCTTCGGCATCAGAATCACCTGAAACAAAATTAAAAGACAACTTTAAAATAAAATGTATCAGAAACGTAGTTGTTGAAAATGTTGAAATCTAGTATATAATAACAAATAACGTGCGAAACAAATTTATATTTAAAAAAATCGTTAAAATTTAAATTTGAATACATGAGCTTTTATGTATATTCCATACTGTCGCGGTACAAAATTTTATATTTAATTTTTTTGTGTACAAAGTTTGTTCAATAACATATATATTATATTGTATAGTTAAAGAGTTTATAAATTTGCCATGAAGTTCCCGTTTAAAATTGAATAACGTTTAAAACAAGATTATTAAAAAAAAGTTGTCTAAATAAGTTGTTAAATACATTTATGTAGTTAAAATGTATGGAACTATTTGTTGCCTTTTTTATATTTTTTACAAATTTTTTTTTAATTTGTTTTAGTACATATATATTGTTATATACCGTTTAAAATATAATAAAATTATCTACAATTTTGTGTATGAAAATGAATAACGTTCAGAACAAATTTACATTTAAAAAAATGGTTAAAATTTAAAATGATAGAAATAATAGAGCTTTTATTTTTGTTACCTCACGCGTGGTACAAATTTTAATATTTTATTTTTTTCTGTATAAAATTTGTTTAAATACATATATATTATATTGCATTATTAATAAGCTTATAAATTTGTCTTCAAATTCTCGTTTAAAATTAAACAATGTTAGAACAGAATTATTAAAAAAAAAAATGCCCAACAAAGTTTTACAAATAATACTTTAAATGTATGTAATTGAACAAAATATAACATTTTGTGTGAATTTGTTAAAAATTTATTCTAATACGTATATATTATTGTAAATCATTGGAAAGATAATAAAATTATCTATAAATCTGTGTAAATGAACAAACAACTTGCAGAACAAATTTATATTTGAAAAAATGGTTGAAATTTAAAATTAAGCACTAGGGTTTTTATCTGCATCCTATTTATATTTAAATTTATATAAAATTTATATTTAAAAAAATAGTTAAAAATTAAATTTGAATACATGAGCTTTTATGTATATTCCATACTGTCGCGGTACAAATTTTTTATTTAATTTTTTGTATACAAAATTTGTTAAACTATATCTATATTATATTGCATTATTAAAAAGCTTATAAATTTGTCTTCAAATTCCCGTTTAAAATTAAATAATGTTTAGAACAGAATTATTAAAAAAAAATTATTGCCAAAACAGTTTTACACTTTTATGTTTAAAATGTACTTTTTTACATTTTTTGTTAATTTGTTACCAATTTGTTCTAATATATATAAATTATTAAAAGGAATAGTAGAAATCAATTGATATTCGGCTTGAGAAGATTTTGGGTAAAAATCACTCCGAAGAAGATGCACTGGTCAAATGTTTGATAAATTATATATAACTCATTTTTGCAATACTATAAGTTGAAGAATAAGTTAAATATATATATATATATATATATATATATATATATATATATATATATATCAGTTTCTTATTATTACATGAACTATCAGCATCAGAATAAATTCTCTGCGATCCGATATACAAGATATCCATCAGAACGTTGTCCAAACTCCGTATACTTCCACTTGTAGACATTTTGACAATTATTGCTTATTGCAAATTTCTAATTTCGAAAATCATATGATAAACAATTCAAATTCCCATAAAAATAAGTATGTAATTTTAAATTTAAGGAAATTTCAAATTCACATGTCACTTTCTCGAAGGAAAAATTTTATAAACAAAAAACGGAAACAAAACATACTTTGATTCATATTAAATAAATGAGCCCAATTTTGATCTTATATTGATGTTTTCTCAAAAACGGCTGAACCGATTTAAAAAATTTAAAAGCCGATCGATGTAACTCGATAAGGACTTGTGTTAATTAGATTTGCACAAAGATAGGTCAAGCTGTTTCTTTAGAATTAGCAGAAAAGTGCACAAATTTTTCGCAGAAAATCCTGAATTGATTTCCTGGCAGTCTCTTTCAAATTAATAGTTGAAAAATGAAATTAACTATGCGTAAGTGGCATTTTGCTTTAAAGCAAGTTTCAAGAACTTACTTTACATGGTGTAAATAAAATTACATTACACCATGTAAATCATAAATAATTTGTTTATGATCAATCTGACAATGTTTTTTTTAATCACAATATTTATTACAACTGTTAAATAATTTAATATCTAGTAACAATAATGAACAATAACATAAATTTAATAAAAAGGAGTACAAAATAAAGGATAGTATTTACATTAAAATGATATCCGTAGTATGATGATTTAATATAAAACTAGTTGGTGTAGTATTTTGCCTTGAAGCAAGTTACATGAATTTCCCGATATGTTTAAATAATCGGCTTAATCAATAAAAAATAAATTAATTTATGAGTCATTAAAAGTATTCCGAGTGGATTTATTACACATGATTGAAAACGAACGAACAATTACTCGGAGTATTTTCTTAAAGCAAATTTTCCAAAATTTCCAAAACAAATTTTATAATTGAACCGGTTTCCATAGGACTTTAATGGCTCAGTATGTTCATCAAGACCAAGTACTCTATCGTTATACCAAGTAAATCGTCTATTTTTAATTCTAATAAACGTCAAAAAACTACTCATTTTCTCAAACTTTTGTGAATTTTTAAAATTAAACTACTTGTCGTAAGGCTGAGATATTTCAGTAAGTTATATAAGACCGAGACATATATCGCCAAAAAAAGTTTCATAAAAATAGACCTAATTTTTTTTCTACAGTTAATAACAAGAAAACGGCTCGGTAGATTTTCACCTAAAACTAATCAGTGTCATCAGCAACTAATATCTTTCGAGCAGCTTTTGATTTTTTAAAATCGGTTCGGTAGGATGAGCTTAAATGTGGACGAAAAATTTAACACTTTTTTCCATATTACAAAGAAACGGCTCGGCCGATCGTCGCACAAAACTGAGGAACGATAATCCTCGTCGAGATACATCAAATGGTTTTTAAATTTCTGAAATCGGTTCAGGCGTTTTTGAGCAAACGTCGATGAAAGTTCTAATTTTAACAAATGCCAAAAATACCATATTAATTTTTGCAAACTTTGACGAATTTTTAAAGCTAAACGAGATGTCGTAGGGCCGTAATATTTTAGATGAAAACATTTTCTCCTTCAGAAAGTTTGTAACGAATAAATTTGTTATTATTATCACAATTTTAGCTAAAAACTCGGTTCATTCTATCGTTACGTTTTTACTAATTTCGATCTCAAACGATTCAGAATGACTCGAAGCAAATTAGCAAATCAGATTTTCTAGACAAAACATAACTTCTCCTTCGTAAAAAAATAAAAACAGCAATCACTATTATGTAGGTAAACTTTTTGTGGTCACTTACCATCATTATCTTCTTCCTCGGAAGACCAAACCCATTCACCAGTGACTGTCCGATGAAGTCTGCCACTGGCACCAGGTTGTCTTCGAGCAGCTTTGTGTACCCTAGTTTCCATCGATGGACCTGTCGCCACCAATGTTTGTGTGAGGTACCTTAATAAAAAAAAAAATGTAATTAGAAGTTAGATGAAGAACAGTTTAAATAGTTGTGAGTCACAACTGTTGTGACCATATACTTACTTTCTATCTTTGGCTTTTTTGAAGAACGGATGTTTAAGCAACTCGCTCGCTGAAGGTCTTTTCGAGGGTTCCTTTTGCAAACAATCGACTATCATTTTCCTAAACGTTTTGCCATAAGCCTTGTATTGATCTTTTTCATCGGCACCTGAAATGTAACAAATATCAATTCGACAGAATAGACGAAACTAATATAAAAATATTAGTGCTTATTGGTAACAAATAAAATACTACATTTTGCAATTAAGTTTTATCTCGACTAACCTGTGTCTAACGTGGGTGGATCGTTTTGCAGGGTCAACATTAAAACTTTCATCGGTGGATATTTGTGATATGGTGCTGTCCCTGTTGCCATTTCGATGGCCGTTATACCGAATGACCAAATATCTGCCTTGAAATCGTATCCGTGATCTTGTTCCATCACTTCGGGTGCCATCCAGCAAGGTGTTCCTACAAATGTATGCCTAACCTGGAAAAGGATAAAAATGACTCATAACATGCTTTTCTTCAATGTTCAATCTATGAAATGAATTTAAATCAGTGGAGCGCATGGCATCGTGCCTTAAGGCAAATTGCTGGAACTTCCCGTACCGTAATGAAATATTCAAGAAATTTTAAACGTTTTCAAATATATTATTACAAATACTCTGTAACTTTCATTATTTTTGCTATCTTGTTATATCTGAGCAAATCAAATGCAAATCATAATTAAATCAATTTATCTCCAGAACATTAACAATCGTCATTTCATTTCAAATTCAGTTTCAAAAAAAAAAAAATAGTTGCCTAATTTACACCAAATTGAAAAAATGCTCCCGTATAGTCACAGTCTAAACGCATTTGCAAATAATTCTGTGCGACATTTTCACTTATACTGCGCTTAGCTTGGCGGCATTTTCACATTTTTCAATAGTTTTCACAAAAATTAGAAAAGTGCTTCAATACATAAACAGTCTAAACGCACTTGGGTTAACATTTGTACCAAAGTCGCGCTTAGACTGTGCTTAGCCTGGGTAATTTTTTGAATTTTTTATCCAAAATTACAAAAATATTTTTGTATAGTATATATAAAATTTTTTTTCCGAGAGCAATTATTTTGTTGAAACAAGCAGAAAGTTCTTTCAATCATTTAGATCGGACGCTTAGTTCTCTCAAAAACTGTCATTTTTTTAACATTTAGCTCTGTATCTCCGAAACCGCTGGGCCTACATGTGCCAAAAACTAATAACCACATTTCCCCGTCATTACGAACTGAATGTTATTTGGATCATACAAATCCGATACTCAGTTCTCTCAAAAACTCGATTTCTATTTTCTGCACTCTTTGCTCTTTATCTCCGTAAATGCTGGACCTGCTTTTGCCAAAAACTAATCTGCACATCTCCCTATCGATAGGAATCGAATGTTTTTTAAACCATTCAAATCGGTTGATCCGTGCGCCCGAAAACGTGGACGAAAAAATGCAGATATACAAAACACAAACACGCACATACACACATCCATTTAATTTCTGAGGTATGCCAAAATGTTCAGAAACCTTTAAAACGTCGAGAATGCAAAAATTTTCATTTTCGATTTTCGACCCATTATCGACCCACTATAACTACCCTACGGGAAGTTAATTATTTAATAAACTGCAAAAATTAAATGTTGAGGTATGTCACGTACTTCTTTTATTTGTCATGAAAAAATTTAATATTTAAATAGTTGTTATAACAATAAAAATGCATTCTATACAGTACCCGTATTAAAATTCTCCTAATGATTATCATATAACACGTATTTCTTGCATTATTACCTATATCATATTCACTAAACCTTAAATTCTATATTGTACGCCTTTGAACTAACTATATAGTACGCCTAATACGCTTAATACGTCTAATACGCCTACAACCCTATATACACATACCACGCCCTATATTATTTCTAATCTTACACCTAAGTTTCTTAAACGCTAATTTTTCCGAACCCTACCGGGATTCGAACCCCGGTCTGCCGCGTGGCAGCCAACGACCTTAACCACTACGCCACCGTAACCCCTACGATCAATCGTCTTTCGAAGCGTCTCGTCGCGCCGCCTTAGTATTAATTAGCCAATTAATTAGAAAATGAACCGCGGTAACAACAGTGCAGTCCTAATAATATTATTAGTGGGGGTAGCCGATAGGGTAGTGGTTAAGGTGCGCGACTGCCACGCGGAGGTCCCGGGTTCAAATCCCGGTATAGACAATAGATAGGTAGAGATAATAGATAAGAGTAAAATATAGTGTGTAAACGGTTAAATGTAAGGTTTTTAAGGGGTAAGGGAAATATATATGAATATATATATATAT